ATGATTGATTTAGGTGCAATCTTACTAGCAGCAAAATCCTTTCCTGTGAAGCCCTTTTTGTGCAAAGCAATGATGACGGCACGTGTTTCCTTGCAGGTAACCATAGTTAACAGAGGAAGAACAATGATTTTTACATTTACATTTTAGTCATTTAGCAGACACCCTTATCCAGAGTGACTTACAGTTAGTGAGTGCATACATGTTTTTTCTTTTTTTTTGTACACTTTTTTTTATACTTTTATATTTCAAGCACCACCCTCCTTATACAGCTTCCAGTCTGTTATTCTAACTCAATCAGCATGACAGAGTGATCTCCAGCCTTGTCCTCGTCAACACTCTCACCTGTGTTAACGAGAGAATCACTGACATGATGTCAGCTGGTCCTTTTTTGGCAGGGCTGAAATGCAGTGGAAATGTTTTTGGGGGATTAAGTTCATTTTTATGGCCAAAGAGTGACTTTGCAATTAATTGCATTTCATCTAATCACTCTTCATAACATTCTGGAGTATATGCAAATTGCCATCATAAAAACTGAGGCAGCAGACTTTGTGAAAATTAATATTTGTGTCATTCTCAAAACTTTTGACCACGACTGTATATATATATATATATATATATATATATATATATATATATATATAAAAAAAAATTCACTGAATTGTTTTTCCAATTTAGTTTCAGTTTTCGTTTACTATAATAACCTTACTGCCAACAGAGTCAATAGACCGGTAGCTTATGTCAAATATTTGACAGTATGGGTAGGCTACGGTATTGTTGTGCGATAGGAGCCCGACATCATTGCCTATTTAATCTCAGAGCCTATACCAAGGCAGGACGTAGAAACCCAATAATCTATTCATAAACTAAAAATGTGTATTTTGCATGCCGTGGCCTAATGCCAATAGTTCCAAATTATACAACAAATAAAGGGCACCATAAAAGGTGAATGGAGGACGTTTTCAAGGTGGAGTTTTATTGCTCGTTCACGCATCTGATTTATAAAGGGAAATGTGTATGTATGGGCCGAGGCATCATGCCCATAGCACGTCCCCCTTGAGATTTGAACTTTTTTTTATTTAATAAAATGTTGTTTTTCTCTGTAATACCACTAGCCACTTAGCAATTTTATAAAATTGTCTTTAACTAGCCCAGATAGGTTCCCAATCTATCAAGTTAGAGTAGCTAGCTTGTCTAACTATCATAGCTGGCATGCCTGCTGGAAAGGTTGGTAGACTTTAGAAAAGCAAGCAATTACTAAATGTACTGAAAAAGACTAACATTCCTTTTAATCTTTTACCCATATTTTAGCAGAGATGCAGTGAAGCATATTTAATGTTTCTTTGAAAAAAGAACCACCAGTCAGGAGGATACAGACAGCTCAAGATGTACAGTGCATTCAGAAAGTATTCAGACCCCTTCCCCTTTTTTACAGCTTGTTATGTTACAGCCTTATTCTAAAATTGATTAAATAAATGTATTTCCTCATCAATTACATACACAATTTTTCAACAAGATCTCACGGTTTGACCAATTTAACTTCAGATTCCAACGTTTTTCCATGTTTCTCAAAACATCACATTTCGAAGGTGCTCCAAATGTTTTTGCACCCTGAGATGCTCCGCTGCTGTTGCCGGAGCCTCACGGTTGGTTAAGTTTAGGCATTCATTCTGAATGGTTAAGTTAAGAGTTAAAGTTTGGGATAGGGTTAAAACAACAACAAAAAAGGGGCCTCCCGAGTGGCGCAGCGGTCTAAGGCCAGTACTACATCGCAGTGCTAGAGGCGTCACTACAGACCCGGGTTTGACCCTCAGAGCCAGAGCTCATGGCTTACGCCCATCCACCACCCCCATCCACAATGCCCTAGCAAAACCCAAGCCTACTTGATGTCTCAGCTATATAAAGTGCATGGCTTTAGGGCTATCATTAATCTTTCTCAAAATCTTGCAACTTGTTAATCAACTTCAACACAGCCAGCTATGAAAACCCTTTGTTGTATTAACATTGTCTCAAGTGAATCTTAACTTCCAAAGAAAACTGTTTCAGGAGTGGGAACAGATGTAACACAGCTGAAAGAAGAGAGATTGATGAGGGGCAAAGACATTTTGCAGGTTTTCCTACTTACAAAGCATGTGGAGGTCTGTAATTTTTATCATAGGTACACTTCAACTGTGAGAGACGGAATCTAAAACAAAAATCCATAAAATCACATTGTATGATTTTTAAGTAATTAATTTGCATTTTATTGCATGACATAAGTATTTGATACATCAGAAAAGCAGAACTTAATATTTGGTACAGAAACCTTTGTTTGCAATTACAGAGATCATACGTTTCCTGTAGGTCTTGACCAGGTTTGCACACACTGCAGCAGGGATTTTGGCCCACTCCTCCATACAGACCTTCTCCAGATCTTTCAGGTGTCGGGGCTGTCGCTGGGCAATACGGACTTTCAGCTCCCTCCAAAGATTTTCTATTGGGTTCAGGTCTGGAGACTGGCTAGGCCACTCCAGGACCTTGAGATGCTTCTTACGGAGCCACTCCTTAGTTTTCCTGGCTGTGTGTTTCGGGTCGTTGTCATGCTGGAAGACCCAGCCACGACCCATCTTCAATGCTCTTACTGAGGGAAGGAGGTTGTTGGCCAAGATCTCGCGATACATGGCCCCATCCATCCTCCCCTCAATACAGTGCAGTCGTCCTGTCCACTTTGCAGAAAAGCATCCCCAAAGAATGATGTTTCCACCTCCATGCTTCACAGTTGGGATGGTGTTCTTGGGGTTGTACTCATCCTTCTTCTTCCTCCAAACACGGCGAGTGGAGTTTAGACCAAAAAGCTCAATTTTTGTCTCATCAGACCACATGACCTTCTCCCATTCCTCCTCTGGATCATCCAGATGGTCATTGGCAAACTTCAGACGGGCCTGGACATGCGCTGGCTTGAACAGTGGGACCTTGCGTGTGCTGAAAGATTTTAATCCATGACGGCGTAGTGTGTTACTAATGGTTTTCTTTGAGACTGTGGTCCCAGCTCTCTTCAGGTCATTGACCAGATCCTGCTGTGTAGTTCTGGGCAGATCCCTCACCTTCCTCATGATCATTGATGCTCCACGAGGTGAGATCTTGCATGGAGCCCCAGACCGAGAGTGACTGACCGTCATCTTGAACTTCTTCCATTTTCTAATAATTGCGCCAACAGTTGTTGCCTTCTCACCAAGCTGCTTGCCTATTGTCCTGTAGCCCATCCCAGCCTTGTGCAGGTCTACAATTTTATCCCTGATGTCCTTACACAGCTCTCTGGTCTTGGCCATTGTGGAGAGGTTGGAGTCTGTTTGATTGAGTGTGTGGACAGGTTTATTTTATACAGGTAACGAGTTCAAACAGGTGCAGTTAATACAGGTAATGAGTGGAGAACAGGAGGGCTTCTTAAAGAAAAACGAACAGGTCTGTGAGAGCAGGAATTATTCCTGGTTGGTAGGTGATCAAATACTTATGTCATGAAATAAAATGCAAATTAATTACTTAAAAATCATACAATGTGATTTTCTTGATTTTTGTTTTAGATTCCGTTTCTCACAGTTGAAGTGTACCTATGATAAGAATTACAGACCTCTACATGCTTTGTAAGTAGGAACACCTGCAAAATCGGCAGTGTATCAAATACTTGTTCTCCCCACTGTATCTACCCGTGTATATAGCCAAGTTATCGTTACTCATTGTGTATTTATTATTAAGTTTTACTTTTCTATTATTCCTCTATTTTCTCTCTCTCTGCATTGTTGGGAAGGGCTGTAAGAAAGCATTTCACTGTTGGTCTACACTTGTTGTTTAGGAGGCATGTGACAAATAAGATTTGATTGTTGTTGCATTGTCTAGAATGAACCTTCAAGTAAGCATTTAGTTGGACAGTGTATACCATATGTATCCTGTACATAAGACTTGAAACTGGGTAATTACATTTTACATTTTAGTCATTTAGCAGACGCTCTTATCCAGAGCGACTTACAGTTAGTGAGTGCATACATTTTTCATACTGGCCCCCGTGGGTAACGAACCCACAACCCTGCTGTTGCAAGCGCTATGCTCTACCAACTGAGCTACAGGGGACTTTAAATTCCTATTTTCCCTAACTCCTAACCCTAAACATAACCCTAACCTTAACCTGGAACTCTAACCCTAACCCTAATTGTAACCCTAACCCCTAAATTTAAATTAGCCTTTGTCCCCACGAGGGAGAATTTTCCTTGTTTTACTATCCTTGTGGGGACTTTTGGAGGTTTTAGGTCCCCACAAGGATGGAAAAAAAGGGAGAGCAAGAAGTAGTATTCCATATTACAAGCAGCTCTATGGCGACTTGAACCTGTTATGTTAAAACAAAAAAATGCCCAATACCATCATGCACTGAGGATGAAACACTTGAACACGTATTATTAGAATGTAGAAGAACGATGGAAATCTGGGAACTAATGCAAGATATTGGAGTCAATATTCAAGTCGAACCAAATTCCATACTGTATGGGAAAATCGATGGAACACTGAAATAAATCTATAAAGACCTATTTCGCCTCATCATGTTTATAGTGAACGCACAACTATGGAAAACCCGGTGCCGAATGACACACACACACACACACACACACACACACACACACACACATGCAGACACACAGACAAGATAGAAGGCAGAGAGAGGGAGGCGGAGCAGCCTTTGAATTTCAGTCCGTCCCCCTGTCTCCCTCCCCAACCCCTGGGTGAGAGGGGAGTGCTGTAGCCCCCCAAAGGAAACGGAAGAGACGAAACAAACACAACTCTCATTTTAAAACCCCGGGGCTGTGCAGAAGAAAAGACAACTTTCTGACAAACTTTACACTTCTAACCACCTATTTAGCACTCCACCCTCCCTTTTGCTTTGTCGTTTTTTTGTTGCTGTTTTTCTTTTAATTCTGTGGCAGATTGAAAGCCCACGCCCTGCGCAGTAAAAGGACCCAGTGTTCGCCGGAGCAGAGATGCCCCCCCAGCCGGAGGTGAACAAACATTTCTGGGACTTCCTAAAGAGTTTTCTCGGCATCATCCGAATCCTCCAAATCCTATTTGGAGCAGGACTATGGGTCACAATCGCCGCCAACAAATACGAAGGCGCCATCCACTTCGTCCTGTTCGTGGCCGTGCTCTTCTGGCTCCTCACCCTCACCGCCTTTTTTATCACCCTCCTGGACAAGCAGGACCTTGTCCCCATTTTGGGAGGGGACCGGTGGTTGCTTAGCAACTTGGTTCACGACATCGCTGCGGCGGTGCTGTATCTACCGGCGATCGGCGTCATGATCTACAAGACAGAGCGGTACGAGTACTGCAACCTGGAGCAATACAAGCACTACTGCCTGTATAAAGTATACCTGGCTGCCGCAGTGTTCGCATGTCTGGGCGCTGTGGTGTATCTTGTCTCGTCGGTGTATGTGGGCTGTAGGAAGTGCCGGGGAGAGCAGACCGTGGTTTGAGAGAGAGAGAGAGAGGGGAGGACAGGGGAACAAAGAAGTAAGGGATCGGTTGGAGGACTGGGGGAGGGAGGAAAGAGCTCTCCCGGGATAGGGGAGAGGAGAGGGGGTATTTTCTCTCCCCCAAAGCAGAGAGGGTGTCCTCTTGTCTTCTTGGCTCAAACTCCTACAGGTTTGTCCATATTTTGTTCAGTAATGTAATGTCAGTATCGTTTCAGTAGCTTATCAACGTAGGCTACGATACTTTTTTGGTACGCCTACTACAGTGTTTTTGTTTTGACTGACAACAACATTCTGAAACTCTGAGCATTCCAGTCAGGACATTGACGTTTTATCGATGCCTTTAAAAGCACACCTCCTATGCTTTGCAGCCTACAACAAGCTGTAATAGCAGGGACATGATATGACATGCCTTTGATATGAAAATAACTACACCATATTTGTTGCCAATGTTTTTTTTTTGTATCCTTTTAGCAAGAAAAAACACGTCTATATCAAAAACAAAACCAAGTCTGTTCCTAATTATTCCTGAAGTGTCCTTCATGTTAAAACCAAATGTTGATGAATTAAAACCAATGTCACTGAATACCAAAGACATGGTTCTCTTCTTTGGTAATAACACCTTCTGCATGTAGGGCCAGATATAATTTACAGAAGTAGCCTATTGCTAGCACTATTATTATCATTATTTTTGCAGTAATAGGCCTAAGCCTGTTTGTTTTCATTAATAACTATTTTCAGAGTTATTTCAAATCTGAAAAGTATACCTCTGCAGACTGTGTGTGTTTGCACCTGTTTGTGAATGTGTGTGTGCAGATTATGGTGTCGGTGGCTTTCCAAAACCAGAGCCCGTTTGGGGCTGGGAGCTACATCCTGTCTGAGACAAACATGCTTAATCAATCAGCAGGGGTCTCTGGGATGCCACATGAAAGACATGGAAGAGTGTGTGCTTTTACTCTTTAATATCTGTGACTGGAACTGTGTGTGTGTGGGTACGTATTTATGTGATTATTGTTATAATAATAATAATAATATGCCATTTAGCAGACGCTTTTATCCAAAGCGACTTACAGTCATGTGTGCATACATTTTTTACATATGGGTGGTCCCGGGATCGAACCCACTACCCTGGCGTTAGAAGCGCCATGCTCTACCAATTGAGCTACAGAGGACCACTATATATATCTGAGTATATCTGAGTTATATCTGAGTTAGTGTGTGTGTGAGAGAGAGAGAGAGAGAGAGAGAGAGAGAGAGAGAGAGAGAGAGAGAGAGAGAAGAGTGATAGAAGAGAGAGAGAGAGAAGAGTGATAGAAGAGAGAGAGAGTATTAGTGGTCTATTCCCGGCAAACATTTCCTGCTAACTTAGAGGGAAAAAAGAAAACCATGCTTGTCATAACAAGGACAACAGAGTTGGAATAAGCAGAAATAAATCCAGCCACAGAGTGTATGACAGCCTAAACCTAGCGATGTGAAAATGAAGGAAGAGATGTGAAAATGTTGGGACAGGACCCATGTTCTATGCTGAGCCAGAGACATGAAGCAAGGGGGGGAGGACACAAGCATTGTGAAAATGTTGGGACAGGACCCATGTTCTGTGCTGAGCCCTGAGTAGACTGGAGGACACAAAACACAAGATGGAATGGTGAGGCTAATGCTGAACAGATGCACTGCAGGGATAGACTGTAAATCTACCACAGTGTGTGTGAGTCATAAGTGATGGATCTGAAGCACAGTCCAAGCAAACAACTCGTATAGAAACAAAGAAGAACCCTCCTTCTCAATAAGACCTGCTAACTCTAGGCCTCCCTAACGCACAACTTCAATTAGTGACAAATACTTTTCTTATGCTCCATCACAATGACCCTCTTCCCAAAATTATAGTTATTTACAGCTGATTTGTTTGTGGGGAAACTGACAGCATTGCTTGGGTTGCATTAAGGCGTTGTCGTTTTTTTTTCTTTCTCTAATTTTCAAGTGTTCTCTCGTCAGAACCAGATATTTTGACTCAGCCATGTATGGACTGACTGCAAGTGCAAGACGCTGTGCCTAAGAGCGTCTGCTAAGGAACTAAATGTAATGTGTGTCGGTGCTGCTGCTGATGTGGCCGGTGACACTTTGCTTCTTGAAAGTCCAATATATTGAAAACTTGATTGCTGACATGCAAAACATATTGGGACTGTATCAACAGTGGACTAATGAAAAAAAATACAAAAATATATTTTTAAAGTGTATTTTCCCTCTAAGAACATGGGTGGGAGAGAGAGTGGCATTGGACAGATGTGAGATGGTGTTTTCCTGAGATGGTGTTTTCCGTCTTAGCTAAGCCAGAAAGAAAGGGAGAAAGAGGAGGGATGCAAGAGGGACAGAGTGTGAGGGAAATAGAAATAGAAAGAGAGAATGAGCGAGAGAGTGTGACAGAGAGAAACCCTGGGAAAAGGACACTTCAACACATATAAATCCAGGCGGATGTTTGTGCCAGCCCAGTGATATTTACTCTTCAACCAGAGAGACATTTCCTGCATGGACTCAAACTAGACTGGACTAGACTGGGACAGACCATCTACCACGTCAATGGCCTTTCACTCTCTCTCAACTATGATTCACACTATAACTACATCACTGGCAGGCTTTCTTCAAGAACATGAACAAAGTGCCATCTGTCTCTCTCTGTTTGGGCATTTCTGGGCCCGTATTCACAAAGCGTACCCAGAGTAGGAGTACTGATCTAGGATCAGTTTTGCACTTTTTATTGAACAAGGGATGCATTATAAATATGGGCCCTGATCCTAGATCAGCACTACTACTCTGAGACACTTTCTGAATTCGGGCCCTGGTACTGTGTTCCCAAAACCTTGTTCATCTTGCAGCCATCATAACCTAATGTTACATAATGTTACTTAACAGGTGTGGTTATTACACAGGCATAGGCCTTAAGCCCATAGTTAATTTCCCCCTTGTTGGAACAGTAGCCATTCTAGTCGCTGCTTGAATAAACATGGTCTATTCAGGACTCTCTTTCTCTAATGTTTTGACCAAAAAAGTATTCCACTAAAAGTAAAAACCACTAGAGCATCAAACAGGCTGTGATGAGTGACAGTTTGCCAGTTTGCTTCTGCTAATAGTTAGCACATCTGTAGCCTGTATGCCAATCTTTTTCTGCTAATAGTTAGCACATTCCTAGCCTGGATTCCAGTCTGTTTCTCCTAATAGTTAGCATATCCCTAGCCTGATAGCCAGTCTGTTTCTGCTAATAGTTAGCCTATCCCTAGCCTGGATGCCAGTCTGTTTCTACTAATAGTTAGCATTTGCCTAGCCTGGTGCCATTCTGTTTTTGCTAAAAGTTAGAATTTCCCTAGCCTGGATGCCAGTCTGATTCTGCTAAAAGTTAGCATTTCCCTAGCCTGGATGCTAGTGTTTCTGCTTTAGCCCACTCTTCCGTCATTGTCATTTTTGAATAGAGGGCTATAGAGCTGGCTTAAGCAGAACCTAACATGCATTCAGGCTATTTCCCTCTTTTCCCTCCCCTCTTCCATGTCTGAGTGTGTCTTTAATGTCAGCCTCTAAATAAAGCAGCCAAAGTGAACAATCTGTAGTGATCTTATGATATTGGATGCTGTAGCCCAGAAGGAGCCAATTAACCATGATGTAGACTTGCTAAGTACCCATAATACTGTAATATCTCTCTCACTCCCATTTTGCTACTCCCTCCCTCTCTCCCTTCCTCTGTCAGTGGGTCACTGTAGTCACTTATAAGGGCCTGGATTTGTGGCAGAGGCCTGATCCAGTTTTGATTAAATATTTTACGTGGTCACAGGTAAGGAGCAGACAATGTATCAAACATACTGTACCACATGTTTAATACTCTCATTATCACATTTCTCATTCGATTTTACCATGATTTTCATCAATTAAAAGAGCAACAGAGTGTATTTAGTCATTCATATAAAGTGTGTCCCTTCATTTTAAAATCCTTAATTTTTCCCACTTCACTAAATATGACAAGAAATGACATATATAGTTAGTTTAAAAAATACTCAGATAGATTTTAAGTACAGTAAATGTATTGCTTGTTTAATTAAAACACCTCAATGTGTGTCAATGTTGATATTTGACCTTTGACTCCCTGGAACTGTACATGACCACTCCACACCATGGCGACTGCTGCCAGGAGACAGTCAGCGATCAACATCAAGTTCAGGTTCAAAGCCACTTCAGCAGCTGGAAAGGGAAAAGGAATTGATTTAAAGGGTATTTGCCTACTCTACTATTAGTACTTCTTCAATGCAAAAGGGATTGAAATTAGATATGCATATAACACAATATCTACAGTTGTTGGCTAAATATTTATGAAGACGTGGCTGCTGTTGGAGTTCAGGCTGCAGGACTGGTCCTCACGGAGACCCACAAAGGAGGCCTTCTCCACAGCCACTGTCATGCTGGTCTCATTGCAGACCACACTCGCTCTGCCAACATTCACTAAAATTAGGACATGAGAGGATGCTATGCTTGTCAGAGAGTAGAGATCTGCTGGGGCAGTTTAACATTACACAGATTCACAAACCAGATTTACTAAGCATTGCGTTTGCACCAGTTTTTCTCATCAGGCCTACCACCTGTAGTAGGGAGCTTTTTTGTTTGGGGATTGGGTAATAGCAGGTTCCGTTGCATGAGGAGAGGGTGCACAGCCCTGAAAAAAACAATTGAAACAGGTGCAACCGATGGTTTAAATTGTCAAAAGAACACTTCCTGATTTATTTACAATTTATATTCAATTAATTCTACAAAATAAATATGTATTATTTACAATAAGTAGGAAATGGAAGACATTAGAATTCTGTGGTTCTTTTACGGACCTGATAACAGAATGATCAGGAACACTGTTTTTTTTCCCATGGCTGCACACTATGCAGAGTAAGGGGGAAACAATGTATCAAACGCAAAGCTGCTATACTGGACAAAAGGGCAATTTCACCAAAATCAACATTTGAGTTGTTATTATA